ACTTGGCTTAGATTTATAATAAGATAGAATAGATAGAATATCTTAACTCTCCAAATAAAACTAAACAATGTACTAGAAGCAAGTTTGACAAAACACTTTGATTCTTGCCGCTGATTCTGGTTATGTAAAATATGACATACTCTGACTGAGATCAGATTCATACATAAGCTATCATCTAAAGATGCTATATCTTTATATAAAGGGTACTTAAGCTTCGGCGTGGCGTTCGCTTCTGTTTTCTTTTTTGCTGTTCATGGTCTGCACATTTCTCTCTCAACAATTATGCATATTTACAAATGTTAATTGCCGCCGGGCGCAATATTGTTGTACACGTATTTACAACGCGACCAACCAGCAGCCACGCCCCTACTAAAAGTACGCCCTCCCACCAGCACCCCACACCTCAGCTGCCAATTAACAACATTATTGACTCCCGACGCTGGCCGGCAAGGCAACCAGCCAGGCAACCACTTTGAAATGCTAATGAAATTGGCTTTTAAAGCCAGCGAATCGTGAGTCGAGTCGTAGTTGGAGTCGGAGTCGGAGTTGATGTAGTGCTGGGAAATGTATAAAAATAAATTCGGCGAGTGTCTGTCTGACAGTCTGGCTGTTGTTTTCATCAAAAGTCCTTGTCGTTTGCTTAATTGATAAATTGATTAAATTGCATGCCTTAATTGCATGGCAATCGCCTTGTCTTTCGTCACAATGCCAACCACATGACATCGGCAGCGGCAACAAATGAGTTTTAACATTTAATTTTTGGTGTCTCTGCGTTGCCTGCACTTCCCTCCCTTTGGCAAATTGCATTTGCTTTGTTCGCCATTCGGTTCTGTTCTGGTCAACTGTTCGTTAATGCGACTTATTTGTCAGCATTTCAAGTGTCGCTCACATCATCATCGGCTCTGCCCTGCAGTGATCCGCAGTTGGGATTGAATTGCTTTGTCTGGACAGCGGTTCGCCGGTTCGTCCCGAATCAGACTATTGACAATTTCGACGGACCGCCTGCGGGTTCAGCGGATGAACTGATTTTGCCATTGTCTTTTTTAGTTACAGTTGAGAGAGAAACACGTCCGTTTACTGTGGGCATGTGCGCTTTCTGAGCTCTTATCTAGGATTAGATACTAAGTACCGAATGCTGAAGGGGCGAAAACTTTAATTTGGTCATTTGGTTTTTATTGGAAACAAGCGCTGACTTGGCAAGGTTTTTCTTTATTAAAAAATTTAAGAACATGTATAAAACTTTAAGAATGAGTATTTATAAGAAATGAGCCATAATATGATGCCTTTCTCTAGACTATCGCATGTATAATATAATATTATGACGCTTATACGGTTTGGCTTTTAAAGCAGAGCCAGTAAAACATTTACGAATAGCGCACAAAGTAGAATAATTTATTGTATGCTCTCAAGAGCGTAAATATAAGAAAGCACGAGCTAATGCTTGCTTCGTACTTTCAAAGCAGAACTAGTAGAACGTTTACGAATAGAACAAAGAAGAATTAATAATTTATATGCTATCAAGAGCGAGTGCAAAGCAAAATTACAATTGATTCTCAAGAGCGTAAAGACAAGAGAACAGAGCCAGTATATTATTTACGAATGGAGAATAAAGCAGAAAAAAAAATGTAAATGCTCTCAAAAGCGTAAAAGTGAGAGCGCAAAAGCTTATGCCCGCAGCACACTATCCCCTAATACCATATCAGACTCTTTAATCGCAACTCTTCAATTTTAATCCACATTCGATAAACTAATCACATAAGTACTCCACGCTCGCCAATGCCAACCATATCATCACAATCTGCTTGTTTACTCACTTTTATGGCGCATTTGTGCATTATCTATGTAAATGCTGTTGGCTTATGTTGGCGCTCAACACTCAATTGCTCTCAACTCTCGCATTTTGTCGTCTTTGCGTTAACTACCCGTTAAGTCCAAAGGAATCCCGAACCGAAATGCGAACAATAAAAGCTTTAGCCGGCGACTAAAGCGCATTAAAACTGCCGACTGGCTGCCTCTGAAGCTCTTCGGAAGCGGACTGTCCAGTTACTGCCCAGTTACGTAGATTGCATTTGCTCGTTTGATTTTTCCATTTTGTGTTTTCTATTTGCCGATTTTTCTTTCTATTTTTTTGCTTTTGCCTTTGTGCGGTTTTACTTTGATTTAATTTTGCTTTTACTGTCGGTTGTTGTCATTGTTCGGAGCGTGTTCCCAACTGCCATTGTCTGCACCCAATTTGCGAGCTTTGTTCAATTGGCTTTGCTGCTGCTCTTCTCTCCAACTGTCACTCATTCGTCAGCAAAATATATCAGTCAAGGGGCGGGAACTTTAAAAATTTAGGCTTGCCTAAGCTAAATTTGCTGGTGAACAAAAGCAGGCAACAAATTTAAAGCCGTCAAATTCAGTTAGGCATTCGATTGGCTTTGTTTTTAAGTGGACTTAAATATTTGTTAACTGCTTAATTTATGCAAATATTTTTCAGCTAGGATATCCTTTTTAATGTCTCTCAAGGAGAAAATTGAAGGCAATGGCTATGAAAATCCTCTCACCTGGCTTATTATTAAATGTATTGACTGAAGTATCGCCTGGAAAATATATAGGCGATATAAAACGTCTTAACTGAACTGTACATAAAATATTATAAATATTAAAATAATATTTCATTACATAAATTTACCGATATCGCAAAATGCTCATCTTTTAAGTTAAAAAGGCGATACTAATTTTATTTCCTTGTGTAAAATAACGAAAATCTTAACTCACTTTTCTAAAGTATCATCAAACTGTCTGCCCAGGGCTTAAGATTTGAGCCCTTAACCTCCACAAACTCATAACAGCCTACGACGAGCGAGCCTCACGCTTTTGTAGCTCATAATTCGATTAAAAACTTCTGCCCACAAAAGTATGCTACAGTTTTGCAAGCACTACATTTATGTAATTTTGTGCCGCAGTTTTGTGGATTGACTCTTGCATAAGAACATTACGAACATGAGCTGATGTCTGATGCCATTAACCCAGAGTCTGCTATTGCTTTTTTCCTACTCCAACCATGCGAGTAGTTTATGCTGAACATATTTTATTGATTACATTTGCAGCCACCCAAAGTCTCTCACAGCCTCCTACCGCAACCCGGCACGGTCCCGGCTCCCCTCCAATGGGTTGGCTGCGTGTTTTTGCACAAGTTTATGAGATTTTCGTGCGAGGCAACCCCAAAAATCAAATCGCTGTAGCCGGAGTTGAAGCCAGCAGTGCCACATTTAGGGGAATTGCATTTCTGTGGTCTCAATAGATGTGCACACACATGTCTGCGAGAAAGAGTGTATGTGTGTGTGTGTGTGTGTCTGTGTCTACATGAGTTATATAAGCAAATAAATTGCTTATTTGTAGCGACAATTTGCGGTAATTTTGTGATTTGTGTTTCGGCTTCAATCTACAAATGTTGTGCTGACATCATCTGTGTGTGGGCGTGTGTCTGTGTGCGTTGGGGGTTGTTTCCGCTCCGTCCCTGACTAAAGTCCTTATGGCTATTAATTAAACATGTACAATATGTACAAACCCACAGTGCCACCCCACCCAACGTCCTTGCCATAATTCATAAGAGACAGCAACTGCTGCTCAACTGCCTCACCTCCCAACTGCCTGCCACTCGTGATCACAGTTTATTGACTGCCTCCATTTTGGAAGCCGAAACTCTAAACGTGTAATCCTTTCGGCGCTTGCCATTTGCATATAGCACACATGTAAGAGCCCTCTCAGAGCTGCTGTCTCTGCTACCCTTCTGGCCATCCACTTGTATGCATATCGTTAGCAAATTGCAGGCTCAAAAAGCTAACCCGTTCTGGCAAAAAAAAAAAAGCGCAGGGCTTTCTTCGGCAAGCAGCAGATTAAATACCCTAATGTACTGGCTGCAACAAGAGGAGGAATCTATGCAATGTTTCCAGTTTTTATATGAACGAGTAAAAAGACTTGCCTGTCGATGCTGATCAGAAATTAATACATTTTTTTTCTGTCTACTTCTGTGTGTCACATACTTCATGGCAAAAGTGTAATACCCTTTGCCAGCGAGAGGCAGAGCTAAACTCCAGGCGGGCCCAAAGCGTGGTGAGCCCCGGCATGTATGTATATGTTTGCCTTCTGTAAGCTAATACCCAGCCAATTTCCGTTGGCTGGTGCTCTGTTACGGGTTTTTTGTGCGCAGGTATCGTGGCCAACTTGTTTTTTCTCGTTGTCCCTGGCTCTGTGGCGCAATTCGTGCCTTTTGTATTTCCGTTTTGGAAATTAGAAGGCGCGCCGGCGTTAGTTCCATACAAATTTGTATAAAAGCTTAGCTACATTTTTTCCGCTCAACTCATTTGCATATTCGACACATTTCAAATTGAGCCCCAAATGTGGCGTCCGTTTACGAGCTGTGACTATGACTTTTGACTGGGGCGGGGGCCCAGCTGCGTGTCACCCTTTGGGAATTTAAGCCTTTTAGGCTGGTATTTTGTAAAATAATTTTAAAATTGACATTAACTTTGGCGCGGCACAGCCTCAAGGTCTCCAAATGAAGCCATTAGCAGTCAAAGCCCGGACCCACAAGAACCCCCGTCAATTGACTTGTGAACGCAGCCCCAGCACCCGACCGCTGCCCGCAGACGATGGCCTGGACCAGAACTCTTGGCCTAGAAATACACACAAAGGCGTTGATTGGCCTGAAACCAAACTCATGCCACAGTCAACTAACCGACCCATCATTCTGCCAGCTCACACTTCCGCACCAGAATTTGTCCAAGCTCTCAAAAGTGAAATGTGGCCAAGCGTGCTTCAGGGAATTTCCACTTTAGTATTGAGTGTGTTCATATGAAAATCATAATTTGATTGGGGGCAAGTTTTAAGTGCTTCTATGAAAATTGATTTTACATAAAAGCCAATTAGCATAAAGTTATAAGGCGATTGGTAATCGAGAATTTATAATGTTTATTAAATTTTTGTATTTGTATTTTATTTTATTTCGATTGCAGCTATTTCCCGCGAGGATGGCGACGATTCCACACATCATCATCACCATCATCATAATCATCATCGCGGCGGTGGCGCCCATCATAATCACGGTAATAAAGTTCCATTCAATGGTTACAATTCGGAAGAGTATCTGGATCGACTGGAACCAAATGGCAATATACCCGCTGACAAAACAAATTGCAGATATGGCGGTAAGTTCAAGTTGAACAATTTTATTGATAAATAAACCATTATAGAGAGTTATGTAGAGTAAAGTTAAGAGCTCAACTGAGCTGAGAAATATTAACAAAATGAATATAAAAATGTATTAAACTTATAAACTTTTAACTGCATTCACAGGATATAAATTAATTTCCTTACTTACATTTCATAGCGGCCTTTTCTCTATTGATAGAAGATTTAGTTAGCTTTAATAATAATACAAATTATGATCTAATATACATGCTTAATATTCAATTATTAAAACAAATCCCAACTGTCGGTACTAACTGCTTCTAACAGATTTATTGCTTGCCACGAAAAAGAATGTTGCATACTTTCTGGCTGTCACTTTGAATTTTGGCGAATTGCTGGCGAAAGCGATTTGCTGGAAATCTTTTTGAGCGCTCAACTTTAAGCAAACTCATTCATAAAGATTTACGCAATTTATTGCCTCGCTTTCGCAATAATCTCTCATTTAAGCAGCAGCCTCCCCTGCACCCTCTCCTACCACTCAACCACACACCCCCGCCAAAACTAATTTAATGATACGAGTATTTTGAGCGCTTTGCTCCCCACTGACTGGCGTAATTTATGCCTCCGCGCTCTAACTAATATCGGCCCGAGCCGAACAGAGCCGCGTCTCTAATTATGGCCTGGCCATTTCCCCAGTGGCATAGATAACCCCGGCTCGCCAACATTTCACGCGCTCAATTTATTGCTGCGCTGTTTCTGCTGCTGCTTAATTTTTTCTTCCGTGTCATTTATCAAATTTTTGACTCATTTAGCAACGTTTCACAACGTTTCTGTTTCTGTTTTTGCTTTATTTTTCCTTTTTTTTTTATACACATATTTTATCTGTAATTCTGTCATTTAAACGCGTGCTTAAATTGCTTATCATATCGTTTCGTGCTTGTTAATACGCTTGAATGCCAATGCATATTCTGCCCATAAAGACCACCCTCTCTGTCTTGCCCTTTCATTTTATTGTCATAATTGTAAATTGCAATTTTATGCAAACAATGGCGAAATGGAGCCATGGCCCAGACCGTCTCAAGACCCGACTCCCTCGCACTTCTTCTTGTAAACTTGAAGACTGGTTGACATTACCGATAAGGCACATGATGATGATGAGCAGCAGCAGCAGCAAAAGGACTCATTTGTTATTGTTGCTGTTGCTGCTGCTGGCGCTTGTGCTTGAAGCTGTTGCTCTTGTTATTGTTCTTGTAAAGCGGGGCACTCAACTCTCGCAGGCCATCTCTTACTTTATCTACAACTCGTTTGCCTGCCTCCTCTCCTTTGACTCTGTGCCAGCCTGCCTGCCTCCGTCTAGGCATTACGGAATCGGCTCATAAAGCAACGGAAATGAAAATATTAACAAGCAAATGCACAACAGCAACAGCAGCAGCAGATCCCCACAGCAACAGCAGCAACAACAACTACAACAATGGGAATTATTCATAGTTAAATGGAAACTGTGCATGCCTCATAGAGTAGCTATCTGTGCGCTCGCTTTTAAAATCCATTGTCTCTCTTTGCCACTGAAGCACTTGCCACTTGGACCAACCCATACCACCCCAAACCATCCCACCTCAACCCAATCCACTGCCACAGCCGGCAGCTGCACGTGAACTGTATGCATTGCCAAGGTCTTGACAGGCGCCCCAAGTTATATATGCACCTCTATATCACTCTTGGTATACTCTTATAGAGGATGTTATCAACTTGTCGTGAAATGTGCAACACATTACATTTCTATTTCTAATCAACACGAGGAGTCGAGTCAATATAGTCTATCCGTCTCTCTGTTGGTTATTTGAAAAGGACAGTCTTGGTTCTTTGTGTTTCTGTTGCAGACAATAATTATATATATCAAAATCGGTTAGATCGGATGACTATGTCATATAGCTGCCATAAAATGTATAGGTTGGCATAGAAAGTTAGACTCTTATATGAAATTCTGATCGGATCATGTAGCTGCAACGATGGCCAAAGGGGGTTTTTGTTTGGAAAGCTTTGATATTTTTATATAATACTTGATTAACCAAGCAAAAAGAGTATTAATTCTTCGGTTTGCCTTTTCGCCCTGCTACTCTCCTGTTGTTATCTTCTTCTTGTTCTTCTCTTGTTCGCGACGCCAGGTGGCGTGTTTGCTTATTGCATTTGCGAGGTGCACTGCAAGGATTACCCGCTTCACCTGTTTTGACTGCGACTTTGGCCCGAAACGAAAGTGTGAAAGGTTCTTGTGGCTGGAAACTTTTGCTGCATGCAAATAAAGTCCTGTTGCGTGTCAAGTCAAACTGGGGAAAAGCTTCTTTTTTGTTTCTGAGACAGCTGTAGTTACCCTTAGTACAGTTTTTGACATATTTTTAATGCTCAGGATTGAGTTGATTTATTTGTTATTAAGATATTTATGCAAAAAACTGTTGTTCTTTTAAGACTCTTAAGTCTATTTTATGATTTAAATAGAATTTAAATTTAATTCAGCTATGCATTCGCTCATAAAATTCGCCTTCAATAATGTACCTTAAAGTCTTTACAGCTCCCTAATGTAATTTAACATGTATTTGCTGACTTTCTCTTCTATTCACATATGATTAATAGTTTATTTTTTGCTCCCTACAACTCTTCAATTCAATTCGTTTTATTCTGTGATCAATAAACTTTCTCAATCTACCCCTCAAAAGCAGTTCTCTCTTATCATAAAGTTATGTAACGCACAATAAATTACACACTTTGAAAGCACATTCACCCACTCAACTAGACCATTTCCCGCACCCTACATCCCCTACCAATCTCCACGACTTGCCTAGCTGTTTCAGCCAAAAGCAATTTCAGTTTTTCATGCTGCTGGGTTTGTTGTTCCCCTTGTTGTTGTTGTTGCCGTTGTTCTGATTACATGATTTATAAGTTATCTTCAACTCGACAACGTTGTTGTTTGCCATTAGAAACGTGTTGGGGCGGCGCCTGGCGTTGAGGCATTTCCCAGGATATGCGCAATTTATTCTCAAAGACTTTGCCCCTAAACAAAGATTATGGTTTATATGCGCAAATTATGCGCTGCCAAAAAAAAGGAGACCTTTAAAATTCGCTCTGCTGCTGCCCCAAGTCGTTTGCCATTTGTTGGGCCATTACAAAAGTTGTGCGCTGTTAAAGAAAAAAAATTGTTGTAAATTGCGTACAAAACATATTTGCCAAATTCGCATAAAAGCAAGCGAAACATTTGACAAACGGCTTTTACTCCCACAGCTGAGGCACTTCCGGTTGCCACAAAATTGTAAATCATGTTTAACAATTATGCGCGACACAGAAAATTACGACGATTTAATTATTATGCTGTGAGTTCTTGTGTGTGTGTGTGTGCGTGTGTGCGTGGCAATATTGTGGTGTTTGCCACATGCATCAATTGGTTGCAACTCGCATTAAAATGCCACTTCCTGCGACTCCATTTCCTGTCACCCTTACCTCCCCCAGGCACACCAAGTTCGTGAGCTGCCTCAGTTATTTCCCAATTCCTAACCCTACCCCACAATCCCCCCTCCCCCCCCCCCCCTAGGTTTATGCACGCGCGACTAAATCCTTTTAGCGCTTTATTTCGCTTCTGATGCGCCGTTGCTAGTCCTTCAGCTTCTGTTTATTTTTACTCTTCTTAATACGCTTACAAAAAGGTATTGTGATTCAGACATTTACTGTGAAATCCATTCTGTTTAAAGTCATTCTGAAGAAAAGGCTTAGTACTCATTTATGTAAAGCTAAGTAAATAGTATATATATGGTTATATATAGCACATAAGTTAATCTTAGTCTGTCTCTGTTTATACGCTATTAAGCCAGCCTGAATTCTGAACAGCTCGGCAATAAATTTATGCTTTATTTTATTATTTATTTGTTCTGTGAAAACCTTAAATTAAAATAAATATACAATCAAACCAGCCCTTAAAAAGTTGCAGAAAAAATGCTCAGAATAATATGTCTCTAAGACCAATTAGCCTATGACTTCTTTAATTTATTAAAAAAGAAAACTTAGTAGAAAGGATTTTCTTTTTAAGTTCAAAATTGGCACTTAATAATCCAAAAAGTTTTAATGATTTCCTTAAACTTAGTCCAGCTTATCATAATTAATAAGCCTACAAAGGGTATTCTTTGTTCGGCGCTTTGTTCGTTTATTGCCCTTTTCTGACTTCCAGCCTCAGCGCATTGTTTGCTTTACATTTTTTTGCCTGCCTACGCGCAGGGCGCTTCCTGAGTACCCCTCGTGTCAGGAGCCGTTTGTCTATTGTTTTCGCAGCGCTTTGCTGCTCCCCAGTCGCCTGTCTGTGATTTAAATTTATTGGCAAAATACTTTAAGTGATTTTTTTGTTGTTGTTGTTGTTTTCCAGTTTTTTTTTTCAGCATTGTTTGGGGAGGATTCTTTTGTGGAGGACGGCATTTGCGTAGCTGGGCGAGAAACCCTTTGACAGTTATGTTGGCTTTTATTGTATCTTCCGACCATTAGGCGGGCGTTTCTAGCTAAAGAAGTCCTGTCGCCTTGCGGTTAGACAGCCCTTCTTTGCGGTTTGCAGCCGCAGCGCGTACCCGCTGTCAAATTCGTTGCAGTTTATTAACGAAGCAAAAACATGTCGCCTTTTTCCGTGTTTCCCGTATTTGCGCTTTTCCGGTTTGAATTGTGGTTTTTTTTTCTTTTGTTTTGTTTTTCGGTTTTTTGATGTTGTTGTGGGGGCAGCGTTTTTAATGATTTAGTTGGGGAAGTGTTTTTACTGGGACTTTGCTTTTGTGCTGATTTTTGTTTGATGTCATCTCGCGTGAGACTTTTTTGGCTTTTCGTTTTCTTTTTCGGTTGGCTAATGAAGCGACATGGAAAATTTGCGGTTTATTTTTCTTCCATTTTATTTTTTTGGGCGTTTTTACGGCTGTCGCGCAGCATTTGCATAAGGGCTATTTTTTGTGTTGGAGCAGATCAAAAAGCGGCAGAGTTCGTGCATTTGCAATGTACA